TCATACGTCTTAGGTAGGTTGTATTGATCATTTTTAAAAAAATTTAGCTTTTTCTTAATTTCTTAAATATTTTATATAAATTATTATTTACAATTATATAAAAATTTAACATAGTAATGGAGAGTAAAATATATAAATGTAAATATAAATATATAACAATATATATTATAACCAACGTTTCGAACGTAATACGTTTTTTTTAGAGTTAAAAAATTTTGTTCTTGAATGAGAATAAATATGTGGTTGAATCTTCTTCTTTTTATTCTTCTTCTTTGCTCTTTTCTTGCCTATTTGAATTTTTATACTGGAATGGACGAAGAAAATTAATTTTTACAAGCTATAGTTCTCTTCGTCCATTCCAGTACATACGTTTAAATAGGCAAGAAAAGAGCAAAAAAGAAGAATAAAAAGAAGAAGGTTCAACCGCATATTTATTCCCATTCAAGAGCAAAATTTTTGTGTACTCAAAAAGTAAGTACACTCTAGAATCGGCCAGTGTGTCCGGCCGAGCGACCGGCCGTTTACGCTATAACTTTTGAAAGCAGAGTTCAATCATGATGAAATTTTCTACACAGTTTTGTCCCAACAATATCTCGGTTGAGTTCGAAGATGAGAATGAGTGTCCGAGCCATTGGTGAGTTATTGTAAAAATAATTATTTTCCCCTATGCTTTCCTATGTGAGGATCAACCAGTCACTGCTTTTGTAAAAGGCTTTCCCGATCATGGTCACATAAAACCCCAATTATTATATACCATTCGACAGAGAATTTCACGAGCTACAAAATGGTATATAAAGCATCAAGAAACAAGGAAGCTAACTCACCTATTGCAAAGATAAATAAACGGAAATCGGTTCTGTTCTTGTCCACGCTCTAATTGATCCACAATTAGAGTTCTATCTTCTGATAGCAAAGGTGATACTCCAGGGTTTTTCGGGATGGAGAACTCGAATTTGTACTCCACTTGCCTCGAAGCTCCATTGATTGAGCACTGCCCACGGAAAAAAATTTTAATCAATACCGCGGTCAACCGCGATTTTTTCGTAATGACTGCGGTTTCTTCTTAATCAACCGCGGTATCGTAAAAAAACCGCAGTTAACCGCGGTTCGGTGCACCGCGAACATAAGTAACCGCGATGTGGTCAAACAAAATCGCGGTGCTTGCATCGCAGTTAACCGCGGTTTCAAAAAAAATCGGTATTTTAGGAATGAGTTGCGGGATTCAAAATCGCGACTTTTCTCGGTTTTTTATACCGGAAGATTATTCTCATAAATCGCGACCTCTGGATAATCTTGAAAGTCATAATTAGTCAAACTGCGATAATCAAAAATCGAACCTAGGTTTTCCTATATTATATTTTCTCACAATTCTGCATCACGGTTTTGTTAGGTGGGATTACGGTTACAACAGCATTTTTTAAACACAAGGTTTTCTTATTAAACCTGTTGCTGGATTATCTCCTGCCATAAGAAAGTGATGTTCTTGTGAAAAAAACATTTACGACATGCTGATAAAATATACTGATCTAATTGGATCGAATCTCGATGCTGGGATTGATATAAATTATCATTTAAAGTGTTAGTTAGAGGAAAACAAGGTCATGTTTAAAAGCTTGAGAGGCTATGTTGTTTATGATAGTTGAACTGAAGTGTGCAAACCTAATAGAAATCAATTCTAATTTTAAAGAGGAGAAAACAAAAATTGAAAATTTTCTATAAAGTACAATTCTCCTACGCTAATGGTGTCATTTTTCTGTTTAATTTAAATATTTTTTTCGTAGGTTAAAGTCATTGTAATTGTAAATTATTTATATTTTTTAATGGATTATATTAGAAATTAAATTAAATTATTCGATTTCCTTAGGACGCTTTCTCTTAGAAATACATTAGGATCTGACTTTCTCAGATGTTATTAAGAAACTACCGTCCTATCGGTTCATTTTGAAAAATAGAATATTTTTTATTTTATTTTTTTTTACATCAATAAAAAAATTAAAAGTATACCATTTTTACTTTAATAAATATAATGTTTAAAAAGAAGATTGTTTTATAACATAGAGTATCCAAAAAAAAATAGAATAATTTAATTTAATTTCTAATTTAAATTATAAGTGCAAATAATTTTAATTTATTTTTAAATTTAAATTATGAAAAAAAGAATTCAGGTTTATTTTAAATTTTTTAATTTATAACTAAATAAAATTAAAAGTAAATATAAACTGACACACCTATATCCTTCGCATTCACGTTACTATCCAGGAGCCGCGCGAGCGAGGGGGTGACCCCCTCAATAATTGAAAATTTTTGTTTTTTTTTTTGAGTGACGGGAGCAGATTTGGAACAAATTTTGTGTTTTTTTTTAAGAAATTTTGCTCTAAATACCCTTTTACACCCTCCCAAAAATTTTTACACCCTTTCAAAACTCGCTACACCCCCCCCCCTCCCCAATCTTAGACCTTTCGCGCGGTCCCTGACTATCTTCAATATTTTCTAGTTTTTATCATAAAGAATATTATGTTTGATCTTTCTATGAACATCATGATATGGTTCAATGGAATTATCGGACTGTAAGTATAAGGTAAGGAGTTCGAATCTCATAACAAGCAAAGAAATTCAAATCATCGGCGGTATGATCGAGATGAACCGCGGTAATGGACACCGCACTGGCAACGAAGTTACAACCGCGGTTTGAGTTAATTAACAAGCTATAGAATAAGTGACATCTATACAGAGAATAGTTACCTCGGGAAACATGAATAGATTTTTTTCAAAAACCGTTGATAACCGCGGTTTTAAGATACCGCGGTTTTAGACGGTCCATAAAAACCTAATAAACGGTCTGACTCCCGCGGTTCATATTTACCACCATAAAACGCGACTTTTTAACCCGCGGTAAGTATCGGTTTTTAGCGAAAATTTTTTCCGTGGGTGACCCATAGAAATCAAGTTATAGGGAAAACGACTTTCTTAGAGTAAATCAAGGCGAAGGCCCCGAACGTCGACTAATTCAAAGTGAATTAAAACTGAATTAATGAATATAAATCGTCTTTTTGAGACGATTTAAATCGAAATAGACCAATCATGTTGCGTAATTCGTTTTATTTTTTTCTGTATGTCAGGGACCAAATAGTTCAAATGTGAGCTGTATTCACCCCCAAATCCTATTGGTTGAGCAGTAGCCAATTGAATTCAAATGTCAATAGAAAAGGTTTGCCCGGCTAATTTTTATATCCAGATATTCTAGAATGACTGATTTGTCTCATTCACTTTTTGAAGTACACATAACTCTCGGATATAAATCCGAGGTTTTCACATTTATTTCATCTATTGTTGTTATTTCAATTGAATGAAGATCGAACATCTTTTGCCATTTTATATTTGTTAGCTCAGCTTATATTTTGAGGAAAGAATCAGAATAAACAACAATCAACTCTATATTGGGTTTACAGATAAGTTTCATATACATAAGATGGGTCGAAAACTTTTGAGGGGCTGAGCCCCCCCCCCCCCTAGCCCAAAATCCTGGCTACGCCACTGGTACGCTCGTATATCAATATCAACTACACATAATCTCTAATTTCAGCTAGATTTTGTGAAATATGATTGAAAAAAAAGTGTTGAACTGTATAGTGAGAAAGTTTGAACGGGTGTGGCTCAATAATACGATCAATACCTACATAACTGTCTAATAGATTCTAATCGACGAGATATAAGATGTTTTTGAAGCTAAATTCATATTTTAATTAAACTTTTATTCGAAAAGAAAAAAATTTTCTTTCTTTACTTTCATCGCAAACATAGAGGAGAGTAATTCTATTGGTCAGTCAAATTCAGTTGTATGTATACATATACCTAAATCAGTAAGTAATACTTCTTTATCATCCGCTTTAGATAGTCACAACTATGATTATAATAACAATATAGGAAAATTTTACTTTACTGATAAAGTTATATATAAGTCAATGTGAAAATTGAAAAAGAATTAATCATAAAAAAAAAGATAAGACTATAAGAAGTTAAACTTAAATAATAATTAAAAATGAACATATTGTAGACAAATAAACATGTTGAATACTTTTATTCTACATGCACACAATCTTTACAACCATGTTCATCTTTGTTTTCTTGAACATATAATTTTTTCATTGAACGTGTAACATGATCACTGACAATTTGAGTTGATGTTGGACTCAAATTACAATCATCAAAATTTGATCGAAACCAATCTAACATTTCTGTTTTAAACACAAGTGCTGTTGCTGTTGTTGATTGATTTTCATTTGAATTTGTTGTTATATCAGTTATTGCTGTTGGTAGTGTTAATGTATCATCTTGATTATGATCAAGATCTTCATGATGTTGTGCATGAATTTTGTAATGGTTTTTCATACGATATACTGATGGAATATATTGATTACATATTTTACACGTACGTTTTTTTTTAATTCTTTTTTTACGCAGTGAGAAGGGATTAATGGCTTGGTACACCTATCTAATCGCTTGTATTCTCCTTCTTAGGTACTCATTGAGATATGAATAGGTCTTATCTAGGTCGATTGAAGTCTTAATTGAATTGAAATCATTCTAGTGTTATCATTAGAAGCAGAATAAAACTACAAATTTCATTGCATATTTGTGTTCGAATTATGGCTCGCTAAGTTTTATAATAAAAAATCGAATACAATCGATTGATGTCCTTATATCAGTAAATATTGGTGATATGCAAAAAAATCAAAATTAGAATTGATTAAGCATCTTCTACTTGAATCATTAGATCTTACTTCTACCATGATTCCTTTTGTTTTTGTTAGCCTATATGACAATAATATATGATGATGACAGGTAGATCTAGTGCTCACGGATTCGTAAGACGCCGTTAGACATGATTGGGACTGAGAACGGATCTGTGTCGTTCATATCTCGAAAAATCGATGAGAAAATACTTCATCATAATTTGAACCCCATGATCCGCAACATTCAACTGAATTACAACGAATTATTTATAATGTATATTGTGTTTGTAAAACATGCATAGCACACCAATATTCATCAATGTCATATTTTACTTGTTCATCAATTTTTTCTCGTGGTGTACGAGCATTTTCTGGATAATATTCATCCGATGCGCGAACACGAAATTCATGTCCTTCTTCTGCTTCTTCTTCAGCACAAATTCGATTTAAAAAATACAATGAATTAAATAAATAAATAAAACAAAACAAAATAAAATAAAATTTACTGTCGCAAAATTTCATCCATAACAATTTTAATATCAACTTGTCGACGTTCATCTTCAGATGCCATTGGCGGATTAATATAATTATTCAGCAACACATGGAAATCCATCAATAACAGATTGATTCCATTTTTCAGCTAAGATTTGTCCAGCTTTATGAAAATTTAATTTTTCTAAATCAATATTTATTGTTGCACTTGAATTATTTAAATGTGAACCAAAATAATCACAGGACCTAGAAAAGAAGTATATTCAAAAATCTTTCTTTTTTTTTAATACTGAAATGTATAAACTTACGCATGTGTAAGAATAAAAAGTGCATCTAAATTATATTTCTTAAATTTTTTAATACTTGCAACAAGTGTTTTTGGAAAACGTGTTTCATCATGTGCTACGTTTTCAAATTCTTTTAAACTAACAAGACGATTGAAATCTAATGCATAGGAATCAGCAGTTGATAGATCATGTTTAGCTGAATGTATGGCTATATATGTTGGACCTGAATAACCTAAATCTCCATCTTCAGATAAAAGACATGCTGCATATACACTTGGTATTAATTGATGTCGAGGTGCAACTATCCAATCATGATGTGGTAAATATATTCGGTAATTCATATGTATTAACATTGCTTCTTGAATTTTAGCTGCAGGTAAACCTAATGGAACTTTACATTTATCATCTTAAGATAAATAAAAAAACACAATCATTGCCGAAAATCGAAGCTAAATCTTTCATATAACGTACTGTTGCTGTAGCAAAATGACCATCTTTATGTCTTTCATGATCATCATTTTGAGCATGATGAAGGCGAACCGGAGCAGTATTAACATGACGGTGACCATCTCTTGATGATGCAGTACGATGAAGTAATAGAGTAAATATTTAAGAAAAAAGAAAATTCGATATTAATGCATGTTCACAATTAGATCATTAAAGTAAATTATTTATTTAATCAAAATTTGACAATGAACATTTCAGACGGCACCAATCTGAAGAGAGCGGCGTAGTGGTCATCTCTAGAAAATTGTTTTTGGTGAACTACGCGATCGCACCCAATAGCAATTGCAGATACATTCTTAAAAAATAGTGTTTCATTTTTGAACACTTGCCCATGAACAATAAAATAAAGTTAAAATTTTCACGAAAAAAGATTTAATTAGGCAATAAACAAGTGGACATATATATAATATACATATAGAGTACTCGTTTCAATCTTAATCTATTTTCTAATTAATTTGTACAAACATAGATTTGAGGCAAATCAAAATCTATGACCATCACAATAAGGGTGAGGGTGTGGGTGTGAGTACGGATGTGGGATGTGGATATTCTCTTCATAGCCACTCACACTCACACCCTCAAATAAAATAATATTTATTCTATTTTCTAGAAAAAACTACGGGATTTAAGGTTTTTTTCTTTAAGTCGTGATAAAGCTATATATGTTTATGCTGAATTAATTGTATCACTTCTGCATCGAATGTTAAATTTAGAAAAACTTGATTTATATCTTAGGGTGGATCTCAATAGAGGATTTATCGATAGTAATGAATTAAAGAATATTATTAATCATATGTCACAATTAAATAAATTTGTATTTAATATTCGTTCAACCATTCATCTTCATAATGAAATTGAATTACCATCAAATGAAGATATTCAAAATACATTCAAAGATTTTAAAGATGATCAAATTATTTCTTGTATTGATTATTTCTAAAAAACCAAATATAGTCAATGCCATATTTATTCGTATCCATATAAAATGACACATCACAAAAATATTACCAATAACTTTCCAGATGGATTATTTAAATATGTTCGCGAAGTATCATTATTTGATGAACGTCCTTTTGAACACGAATTTTTTTCTTCGAATTGAGAAATCATTTCCATTTATGAAAGAATTAACTATAATTAATCAGAAACCACAAAAAAATACACAATGTACAAAATCCAAAGACGACAATCGAGATTTATCAATTATTGAATATTCTCATCTTACTGAACATAATCTTATGAAGACTCATCGTGATTATGTCGAACAATTTCTAGTTAATACCAAAATGTGTTTGCCAAATAATGTTTCTCTTTATGTCAACTATAGAACTTTAAAGAAAGTGACAAACAATTTTAAAAGAGATGCAACACGAACTACTTGTGCAAAAGTGAATTATTTATGTACGAATAATTGTTCTCTATTTTCAAAACATTTCAATGACTATTTTCTTTATACAGAGACAGATAGATTATGATTATTCTCAGTTATTGTTTAAATAAAATTGATATATACATATGCACAATGAATGTACTAAAATAGAGAAGAAACTTATTTTATATTTGGTCGAAAAAAATATCAAAATATGTATTCACATCAAAACGATCACACATAATAACGTACGACTTAAGGAAACAGTGGAAAAAAATTGTTAGCATAACTTCTGTTGGATTGGAATATGATACATGAAATAACTGCTTCACTAACAGTGAAAAGTGTATAACATAATAGCTGTCTAATTTGTCTATATACTTATACTTTCCATTTCCAATAATTCGGAAAAATATACCGTAGACTTCACTGTGGAGATTATGTTTGTCATGGCCTGTGGGAGACGAAGAAGAATCCAAAATTCGCAGTCTATACTGCACTAGTCTTTATGCCGTGCTGCGCAAAACTACTTTGGTTAAAAACTATTGACTTACGTAGAGAGAAAATTATTAATTTAAGTTTTTTGTCATAGTCTATCCAACTTCTATAATGTAATATTCTGGTATCGAAGAAAGTGTGGAAAATTGCTATTAATAAAGTTTCCGAAAATACAAATTTTAATGGAAGATTTGTAAGTAGGCATACTTATCCGAAATCCAATAATTTCTTTACAAATCTAATCAATCTTAGTCTCTTTGGTTGTTAAAGTCATTTAACGAGGGTGAGTGGTGGGTGTGGATGTGGATGTTGGTGTGGGTTTGAGTGCGAGACGTGAATGGATGTGGGTATTACTCTTAGCTTGAGCCACATCCATATTCACACCCGAAATCCTTTTTCAAGCAATGAAGGAAAAAGGTCCGCACGAAACCTTCTTCATACAAAACTTCAAAGGGTTCCGATTCGTTTGCAAAAATCGGAACCTTTTCGGATTTTGCATGGCACCTATTTTCTTTCCAGTGTAGGGAAGCGGCTTCATAATTTAATGCAGATTTGAGTACCTATGACTTAACTTTTTGTATAGGGTGTGGGCGTGGGTGGATGTGGGTGTGGGTGGGTGTGGGTGTAGGTGGAGTGGGTGTGGGATATGGGTGTGGGTGTGGGTATGGGGTATGCGTGTGGGTATGGGGTATGCATGTGGGTGGCTGTGGGGTGTGGATGTTGGTACCGCTGACCAGAACTTTCACACCCATACCCACACCCTGGAGCTTTTAGAAAGATTCGATAATAATTTTGAAATATTTTCGTTTCACAACTTCAACTCTATTACTAGTTAGAAAACCCCTTTCCTAAGATTTCCATAGCTCACATTTAATTTTACAGATTTAAAGTCAGTTAATACAAAAGTTAAAATGCTCGTTATTGTCTGTAGAAACTTACTAAGGGAAAAGAATTGTAGAAGATTGGTAGCTAGTTGTGCTAGGATATTTGTT